CCCACCCCCACCCCCATCCCCTTGCCTCGTTTCACCCCCGTCGCCCCACCCCTGCCGCGCCGATGGACCTTGCCCCAGGCCTCCAAATACCAGACTCGAATCCCCGCTGGACGGGGACCTGCCCGGCCCCGCCTCTTCCCTGGCCAGGAGCGCGGCGGAGGAGGCTGCCCAGGGACCGACCGACAGACTGACGCTCGGACCGACCGACCGACAGAGTGCACCCGATGGCGCTGCCTGGCGAGCCCTGCGCGGGGCCGGGGGTGAGTGTCCCCATCCCGCCGCCTTTTCCTCCCTCCCACCCCACCCCCTCCGGCTCTGTTTGGCCGCAGATCTTTGGGGCTGTGATACCGGGGAGGGGACAGACCCCCCAAATTCCTGTCCCTGGGAAGCGAGAAGACCTGCTCTGGCTCCCGAACGGCAGCAGATTGCGACCCATTTCCCCAAGCCGGCCCCCGGCCAGCCCGGCACTATTTAAGGGTCCTCCATACCTCCCAGCTACTGGGACCTTGACCTTCATTTGGGCAAAGCTAGTGGCCCCCGCAAACCCTTCCCACCGCCCGCAGAGCCCTTCCGGTCCTCGGGACCCTCTACGTGTCTGCCTTCCTTTCCCATCCTGCTCTTAGCAAAGGACTCCAGGCAGTGGAGTTCACAGCGTGGGGGTGGGGGTCGCGATCTCCCAGCATTTCAGGAGCCAGGTAGGTAAGGCAGTAACTACAGCTGTGTTAGCTGAGGGCTGGTTCTGTGCCCAGCATTGTGGTGTGCGCTTTACTGCTGGTGACCCATTTAATGCAACCTTTAGAGGTAGAGTCTTTTGTTATCCCCCTTCTGCAGGGAGAGAAGCTGAGACACGGAGAGGTTAAAGCTCACACAGCTCGTGAGTGGTGAAGCCAGGAGGAGTAGATGAGTGAGGATGGGTGCATGGCTGGTGGGTAACACAGCAGGGGGAGAGTTGGAGAGGCCATGTCTGCTAAACTTAACATTTCTTCTAGAGTTAGAGAGGGCCAGCCAAGGAGCCAAGATAAAAATCACAGATTGAGACCACCAGTAGAACAAGTTTTGGGGTCAGGTTGGCCTGCATCAGAGTCAGCTCTGCCACTCCCTATTTGTGTGGGTCTGAAAGAGGCAGTTTCCTTCTTGGTCTGTGAAATGGGGACAGTAGTGCCTACCTCCTAGAATTTGTTAAGTGACAGTCTGTGCCTAGCACTCATTATGGAGCCGAGGTCTCCTAGACCCGAGGACCCAAGTCCCTGGGTTCAAATCACCCACTTCCCAGCTGGGTGATTTCAGCCAAATTACTCAATGTCTATGCGCCTCACCTTCCTCATCTGCCAAATCAGTATGAAAATTGCATCTAACTCATAGGGGTGATGTTAGGATGAAAGGAACTGAGAATTATAAGGTATTCCAAAGAGCACTTGGCACATTTTTATGTAAATGTTAGGAGTCTAAAAAGTCGCCTGATCCTCTAGGCAGGTGAGTTTGGGACCCCTGCATTTTACTATCGGAAGAATTGCCTGGTGTTCTCTCAGGTCTGGAACCAGACGGAGCCGGAACCTGCCAGCACCCGCCTGCTGAGCCTTTGCTTTCTGAGAACAGCAGGAGTCTGGGTGCCCCCCTTGTACCTCTGGATCCTGGGCCCCATCTACCTCCTCTACATCCACCGCCATGGCAGGGGCTACCTCCGGATGTCTCCCCTCTTCAAAGCCAAAATGGTATCCACTGCAGCTGGGAGCCTGGAATCAGACAATTGCAGGGCAGGGGGAGGGTGGACCCTGGAGGAGACCCTGAAGTGAACTCTCCTCCTATCAGGGAGCACACAGGGTGGAGACAAGAAGGGAAACTGTTCATTAAAAAGAGCAATACTAGAGAGGCTACCCAGGTAAGCTAGGTGGAGCGAGTTTCCCCCAAACAGATTTTGTAATGATGAAAATCTGTGCACGTCCACACACACACACACACACACTCTCACATGTTCTGGGACGATTTGTAGCTACTATAACCTGGCATTTCCCAAAGTGCCCCCTGTGTACTTCTGGGGTACATAAAGTGATTTTAGGGCCACAATTTTTAAAATTTTAAGTTATGCATTTATTTTTATGTTTCCCCACTGGCAGAACTACAGACAGTTTTTTTAATTGTTATGTATTTATTTTAGTGTGTTAGATAAACACTGGCATTCCTAGTGTGAGCCGTTCCACTCATCCATCACCTTCTCCAGACTTCTACAAAAATGTTCTTCAAGGTTCATTCATTCCCATATCACCTTGTTAATTTTTGCTCTATTGCCTGTTACCTATGGGGGGGGGGCAAATTTAAAGGCCCCATATTTGAATCTTTGTGGGCCATGTGATCTCTGTTTCAACTACTCCACTCTGCACTTATAGCATGAATGTAGCCCTTAGTAAACAAACAGACATGACTGTGTTTCAGTAAAACCTTAATTATAGTCACTGAAACTCGGATTTTCTATAATTCTTACATGTCGTGACATATTACACTTCTTTTGATTTTTTCTCCCCAACGACTGAAAAACGTAAAAACCATTCTTAGCTCACAGGCCATACAAAAACAGACAGCAGGCCAGACTTAGACTGTGAGTGGTATTTTACCAACCCCTGCTTTGCACTAACTGAGGTACCTTTGCTAGTTCCTCCAGGGTGCCTTGCTCTGGCCTTCTCTTCCACGTGGCATGCTCTCTCTCTTTCTCTTATTCAAAGAGAGGCCAATATGTATTAGGGAGACCCTAAAAACTTACTGACCCAACAGAGAGTTTCTCCTTAGTAGGGACTGAAAATGACTTGAGGGTATACCTTTCTCACCCAGTGAGTAAATTTCATTTCATATTGTGTCTTTACACCTGAAGTCACCTTGCACATGCACTATTGGAGCACCTCCCGCATTTTGGAAAACATTGGGTTGGCTCAAGCTCTTGTTGGTCGTTATTTATACAACAGTTCCAAGTCAGGACTGATCTGCAATGCCCCTTACACATGCTTCCCACTGGCACATTGATAACTTGTGACATTGGTTCGTAACAGGGCCCCAGTTGGCCATGGGGGTCTCACTCCAGGTTGCCACCATCTTTCTTGTCACCCCCAGCCTTATCTAAGCCTGTCTTCCTAGGTGCTTGGGCTTGCCCTTGTAGTCCTGTTCATCTTCAGTGTGTCTGTCGCTCTTTGGAAAATCCAGCAGGGAACGCCCGAGGCCCCCGAATTCCTCATTCACCCTTCGGTGTGGCTCACCACAATGGTAATGACGTCCTCAGTCTGGAGCTCGGCTCGCCCCTGCTGCTGCTGCCCTGGTAGAGAATGTGGGGGAAAGTGGGGCCTCCCCTCCCACGCACCCTAAGGGCTTGGCCTGACTTTCCTGTCCAGAGCTTCGCCATGATCGTGATTCACCTCGAAAGGAAGAAGGGGATCCAGGCATCTGGGCTGCTGTTCGGATACTGGCTGCTCTGTTTTCTCTCGCCAGCTACCAGCGCTGCCCAGCAGGCCTTGAGAGGGGTGAGTGGGGAAGCCAGTGTGGCGGTGTCAGAACTTGGATCCCATCCTTCCTCCTGCCCTTTCCACACATGACTTACTCTCCACACAGACACACCCCACTCACTTAAACTCGAAAGATACAGAAGCATACTCCCTCGCATATAAGTACCCACCATCCTGTACATTTTTTA